TGGTCTATGTGGTGCACCGTTTATGAAAACAACAACTTATAAGTTAATCTGGCATGTATTGCATTGAGGTGTGATATTTTCGGCAGTGGTTCCAAAGTATAATCAGCATAATAACAAAGCCTGCACATATTCATGTAACGTCTTTTACTTTTCAGTTATGAGTAACATCTACGTTACCGAACCAGCAACTCATGGTAAAGTTATTCTAAAGACCACAGTTGGGGAAATAGAAATTGAGTTATGGTCCAAAGAAGCCCCTAAAGCATGCAGAAATTTTGTCCAGTTGTGTATGGAGGGCTACTATAATGACACATCATTTCATCGGCTTGTTCGTGGTTTCATCGTTCAGGGTGGAGATCCGACAGGTACTGGGGAAGGTGGAGAAAGTATATACGGACAACCCTTTAAGGTTGGTCAAAAGCATTTTACTTATTCTTTATGTATCTTCCGATTTTGTCGTGGTTTTTGTCCTAGCTTTTAGTTCGTTTTCTCTTATAACAGGACTACCAGATCATCATGTTTGTTTGATTCCACCATTAAAAGACACAAAATCCAGCAAAATCCCCTCTTGAAAAACTTATAATCAAAGAGGTCACAGAATAGTATTTTATATATATTCTTCAAATAGTTAAATTCTCAAAGTAAATATAAACAGTAAATAATTGTGGCAACGTAATACCAGTTGTAATACTAAGTTGTAGTGTTAATGATGACGATATAAAATTACTTGAATAAAGGTTGTTAAACTAACATGTAACTACAAGTTGAGCTAGGCCATCAAAATAGGCTTTTTGTGTTATTACTTAAATTGACCTTTAAACAGACAACTAACCACATTTATTTGACTGTTAATTTTTTAAAGATGATTTCTTTGAAGTAACATTCCATTTCACTATGTTAGTAACCGACTTAGTCCCTTTTGGTTATAAACTTATTTAACAATTTATTGAGTTTAACTAGTAGAGTCCTCATGTTCTAAATCTCTTGTTCTTATATTGTTCAGACGGAAATTCATTCAAGACTATCTTTCAATCGTCGTGGCCTTGTTGGGATGGCATGCCTTGAGGAAAACATGAACGGGAGTCAGTTTTTCTTCACTCTAGGGTCGGCTACAGAACTTACAGGAAAACACACATTGTTTGGTCGTGTGGCTGGTGAAACTCTATTCAATATGCTGCGGCTCGGTGAAGGAGATGTAGGCCGAAACGAACGACCGTTGAGGCTTCATCGGATTGTTAGCACTTATGTAAGCCATCATATATATATATATATATATATATATATATATATATATATATATATACACTTTTGGTTAAACTCTCGTAAACTCATCCCATCAGGCACTGAACGCGATGAAGAGCGTAAATAAATCAGATCTAGGCTAACCAAGAGTTTGAGGGACGACCGTGAGCAGTGGTGGGCAACGAAACCGAAAGAGGTGGAAATGGTAGATGCTGTAGGTAACACAAGACAGCTTTTCATACTAATAAAAAAAACCGAATTATTTTCAGCGAGTTAGTCTTCTACAGGATGGGGTCGCTAACCCCACGCTCTTTTACCCGGGCTTGTGATCGGCAGTAACTCTAGAATAGCTACAAGTGTAAGGAAGTACACTATGTAAATTTCATTCCTGGGTGATGTTGGTTTAGAGATTTACTTTATACGTCGTTTTATGTGTATTAGAAACTTGCTAGGCACTATTGTCAAATGAACACTAAATATTGTGCTCACATACATATAAAAGTGAACGATATAAATGATTTGAGTCGTTCGGTTGTTAGTGTACGACAAATGATATCAGGTTTAAGCTGTAATAATTAAAATGTTAGTTTTCTACAGGATGGGGTCGCTAACCCTACTTTCAACAGTCCTCTTTTACCTGGGCTTGTTACCGGCAGTAACTCTAGAAGCGCTACAGGTCTATGTAAGTAAACGAAACTGGAATCATGAAATCATATCTATGTGAAACGATCTCTGGATGAGAAAACACTATTATCTTCTTCAACTCGGACGTTTATGCTACTTTAAGGGGCGGTTTAATCGGCCTTAATCTACCTCACGGCTACTTAGCATTCCCAAACATTCTGGTTGGATCAATAGATTAGGACAGCATCTTAGTTTTACCTACCTATTTCTTTTTACTCTTTTGTCGTTGATATACCTAGGTTCCTGCCCGGAGGTATTGGTGATCCACTGCTATTGGACACAGATTCTCGTGATTCGAAAGCTTCTTCTTATGCGTCCACAACCATTTGAACCATTTGAAAGTAGTCTAAGTATTCTCTTGAAGCCTTAATTACACAAAAAACATGATAAATCACAACAAGTACTACATCACTTGATGAACAGTTGAAATTTATATCGATTTAAAAAAAGGAACACTGTTGCTAGTCGTTAACATTGAATGACTATGCCATTGTTACTAGGTCACACGTTATGTTCGTTAGCGCCACCACACTTTTGATCGTGAAGGTCACCTGGGAGCAAACGGTATTTTCTGTTAATTCTTTTATTATGTTGTTATGTGGCCTAGTTTTTACTTGTGGATAAATTTAGTCTAAACTGTCACAAAAGTCAGATTCCGTTTTGTGCTCTGGGGTAAGAAAATCAAACATTAGTGTCAGTTCGTCACTAACATACTATACGCTTCTGAATGTAACTATAGCCTATAGGCTTTTCTTGAAAGCTCGGACACTTGTTCGCACGAAATTAAGTTCGGAAGATTGATAAATTTTTCGGAAAAGCTTTGTGCCATGGAGATTCTTGTTTTAAACTGACCTTGTTGGTATACCAACAAGCCCTGTGGGGCTCAAAGAAACAAATGTTTCGGCTAATTTGGCTCGTTTAAGTCGTCACAATGTGAAATACCAGTTATCAAACCATGGTAACAAATACAGCTGGTTTCAATGAATAACCAAATATAGGAAAGAACAAGATAAATATAGGTATGCGATGACACTAACCTTAATATTTTGAGTGGTATAAAAAGTGACTATATCTGGAGCACTGACTAGTTTTGAACTGCGTAATTTGGAGTCTTTAGGCATAGGCACGACTTACTCCGCAGTTTCAATATTTAACTGCATAGCGCATACATGCATCCAATAACTCCCACAACTGTGATGCTCGTCACCTACATTGCTTCCCTATTTCCTCGTACTTATTTTCAAAGTATATTACATTGAAATGCTACTGTGCTTGTGTAATACGTACTGATTTCCTGTCGATAATAGTTTACAACCATATAAACCTAGTATCCACATCTTGTGACATAAAACTTGCATCATTATTGAACTGATTCTAACGTGCTGAGGCAATGTTTTGAAGGCCTACGATCAAATAATAAAAACCTACACATATCTTCTGCTTTGATTAATGCTTTATAGTAAAAACCAAGGCACAGCAAACGAAGTTGCAAAATGTAGGACCTATGATGGGCAGATAAACATGCCAGCATCACAGTCGCAAGTACAAGTACACTGGGTTTTTTTTGTATTTGTACCAAATTTCTGTCAGACACAAACCAGGTCTATTAAGGTTTTTAAACAAGGTGGCTCTAATAAATTGTTTCAGTTGGCTAGACTAAGCATTAGTACACCTGCCATATCTCGTTCCATAGATTGTGTGGAACTACGAGTAATAAATAAGCTTTATGTATGTACACTAAGATTTCGTCTACTACCAACCCATCAAAGCTGATACGAATATCAAGTTGAGTGGAGTGATCCTGAACGTACTTTACAATCAAACAGATTTCAAATAGCACTGTCACGAAACATCACATTGTACTGGATTCATGATTAGCTCTCAACTCACAGGAAAGCACGGATAGTTGAACTGCATGAAAATTTCTAGCGAATTTTCTTGTTATGTGGAAAAATACTGGGCTTATAAACACTTTATTTCAGTGAGCTCCTTAAAACTTGATACGCGTTGATTTATGGCGGATTATGGGTATGAGTGTATGTAAGTTCTCTACTCGAGACATTCCATAAAACCCACATTAGGTATGCAGAATTTGGCTGTCAGTTAGTATTATCAACACAAAAGTAGCAGTCAGATTCCATTAGTTAGGTTCAAATCAGTAAAAAGTACGCGTTTATGTATTCTTCGGTCTGGGCACCCGGGCAGTATCACAGCCCTCACACATATCGAATGAGTTTTGTGTGGCGTATATGTATTTGGTGCCTCTTTGTACCAATATCTATGTGTTGAAATAAAAAAATTCTTATTTCTTACCAGTGACACTACCGAGTTACCCAAACGAAAGTAAACATAACTGTTCTTACTTGGTAACCATTAATTGAAGATCGAACTGCCTTGCTATTAAATCACAGTCTTAGCTATAGACGTGTTTAAAGTTTAAACATCTGGCAATAAAATAACATCTTGTGTGAAATATAGTATCAAGATACTGCTTCAGTTTGGACACCTGGGCAGTATTACAGCCCTCACACAAATCAAATGAGATTCGTGTGGCGCATGTGTATCTGGTGCACCCTTGTACCAATATCTATGTGTTTAAATAAATCAATAAATAAACTGTTTAGCTTATGTGTTCGAATCTGTCACCTTAGGAAAATTGGGATAGGAACGGAGAAAAAGGTGAGTTTAAAGGGACTAAATAAAAAGTCCTGAATTTATTTCGTTTTGCTAATGCAAAATAAAGATTTCACATAAGGACTTTTTCTTTAGAAATTAGAAACTACTTGGTACAGTTATTAATGTAAGACAAAGTCCTTTATGATACTTGCACCTGTTTATATTCTTGGTTCATATTCTGACTTGATGTTTTGTGGTTATATTTATTTGTTGAATAACTTGTTAGGTTTTCTAATTTTACTTTCAAAGTTTTATTGCTCTCAATTCCACAGCTCATTTACTGAGATACACTACGTTGCCTTTTTGGAATGTACAATACGAAGCATTTTATGCTTACGATTAGTTTGTGTTTAAAATTAGCTCTAATCTCATGATATAACGAAGTGATACAACAATAAATGGTAGACGCGTTTACATGCACTGCTTCGCAAGATGTTACAAACAACAGTTGTGGATTTCGTAGACAGTCTCTCACTCCAAATTTTCAAGCAGGATTACAACCGTCGGATCAGATACAAGAACAAACATCATTCGACGTAGCGGGTCGCTGCAGCATACATGCTCATATAGAAGAAATTTCAAGAAATTACGTCCCTACTTATGTACACTCAAATTTCGTCCATGGAATTGATTCCATACCTTTTGTACGATCATGTCCAAATATGGGTGATTATCATGCATTCGAAAATGTTAATAATGGTCATTCAAATAGATTATTTAGTAGCCAGTTCCTGACTTCGTGCCCACCTGCTATTCCTGAGGTGCAGTCAGATCTATCTCAAGACGAGGAGGTTTCTCATCCATGTTGCTTCTGCACTTTCTGCGCCCCAGTCATACCAAAAACACACTGTTTTGATATTTGCTGTTTCAAATCAAAGTGTTTGGTCCCAACTGTTTCACCATGTCCACCTGATGCTCTTTTCTGCCTACTTTTCACTGGGCATTGCAAATGTCCTTTGTTTTCTTTCCCCCGTCACCGAGTAACTAACGAAAATCTTATAATTCTAAGCATAATTCAGTTGTTATGTGGTTTCGCAGCTATCGTCCTCTCGAGTGTTGCTTTCACCAAGGCAGTCTTTTTATATCAGATGGCTACAGGATTATGGGCTGGAATATTAATGGTGGTTACTGGATTTCATGGTCTTCTTGCTGCTCGTCGCCCTATTGTATGTGCCTTAGTAGGGTTGTTGGTGCTGTGTATGGTTGTAAGCTTATCTGCGTGTGTTCTCATTTGTGTTTCTGTGGCTGGGACAATAGAAGATGGTTTCCTTAGCAGTACTGTTACACGGAAAGGGTTTACACGTGAACTTACGAAAATTTCACCAAGTCACCGTGAGAACAAAACTTTCTTTCAAAGGCACGACACGAAGTCTTCATTGGCGGTGTTAACAACCAGAACCCAGGATTGGTCTGATTTACAGCTTTCAGACTTTAAAAATGTCCTGCGTGAAACATCTGATACCTACGTGCGCACATACCAAGTTATTTTGCACCTCCTTTTGTTGGTAGTCGGTATTCTAGAAGCATCGGTCAGTCTTGCAACATCCATTCTCTGTTGTCGGTGTGTTTGCTCAAATTCTCTTAATTTGCGATTTCAAAATTCGCGTTCATTACGTACTAATATAGTGTCATTCAATGCTGCTACAGCTAATCAAGCGGCTTCCGTGCTTCGATCAGGTGCAATAAATGACTTTGTTGGTACTGGCAATGTACTATTAGCCCTCGATTCAGATGTACCTACACGAAATTATCCCATCAGTAATGCTAATGAAGTAGTTCGTAAGCCACAAATCCACCATACATTAATCCCTTTTTTATCGGAGTTGAATCGTCACTCATTAATTCTCACACAAGCAGGTACTGGTACAGTAGCTTTATCTGCCGCTCGTGCAGCTGCCAACCTATTCGATTCAGAGAGCTTCGAAACTCAAGATCGAACTTCAGTTGCTTGCTCCTCCAGCAATGAACAGTCCTCTATTCGACAACCTGGTACCTTAAGTAGATCTATATTTCGTCGTCTTAAAAGATTGCGTCTTATTCGTCCTAGTGAACCTCGTCCTCGTCTTCTGTATACAACTCTCCAAGTCCCTATAAATGTTTCCAATGCCTCCGATTCTTCATCTAATCCACCTCCGTTTTCATCTTCCACTACGATTGTTTATGTGATGCTTTCTCCTACACATGAAGAACCACCTATGATATTTCCTCCCTTTCCTCCTAGTTACAATGAGTCACAAAGGAGATCTGGTTTGGGTGCAACTGTTACCCGCATTCAGCGAAACCAGCGTATAACGTTTCAGTCGAACCCATCTCGTCGCTATAGGAGACGTTCAGCTGGGATATCTCGTCCTCGTTTCCATTCATCTATACGTTCGCGTTTGTCACGACTTTTATGTCGAAATGCATCACATCAGTCTAATCTCAGAATTAATAACACATCTCAACATTCTAGAATGCAGTGCCACCTGTCTAGGTCTGTCGCTTCTGCTCCGATTTCTTTTGGTGATCGATTCATCCAACCTGTTCTAATAGTTGGGGACCCACCTACAATCAGACCTACAGAAGAGCCACCTCCCAAATATTCTATATAAACTCTAAGATGTCAGATATTGGTTGTAAGTTATCATTCTCCCTTGTGCAAATCTACTGCATTCCTAATTAATCTCTGAGTCAGCATTTCCTGATTTGTAAAAGCTTGTGATTATTTACATAAGTATTTGCCATTACTAGTCTATTTTGTTTTGCCTTTTTGTTATTTAAACGTTTGTTACTACCTTCAATTCAAATGAGAACATGTTTTTATTTGAACAAGATTATTACTTGTCAATATTTTAGTTATTTTTTAAGTCGTCTAATTGGTTCATACCTTAATTGTATATTTAAAATGTCGGTATTACTTCTAAATTATATTGTCGATATAACATCCTTCACTAAAGCCTTTTTATCTTTTCTCGTGGTTAGTAAAAATAATTATGTAATAGCTGGTGGCAAGGTAAATTGGTGATTATCCACGATATTTGTTTTGTGCGCTAAATTGAGAAAAACTAAAATTCCAGCAACCAAATACAAGCTCGTGCATTCTACTTTGAGGTATTTTTTCTGTGCAGATCAAAGCTGCCAACGGAATGTCTTAACCGAAGTACATGTTACTGGGTTTGAGATCATGTCTGTTGTAACTACTCAATCTTAGCTCTATTGTGTGGGTGTTAAGTTTCAACGTTCTGACAAGGTATTCTCAATCGGCGTAGTGCTTTATTCTTGTGATTAACTTTCTCATCAGTCATATTATTAAGTACACTTACTTTTAAGAAGTAATAAAGATCAAGGATAATTATGGTTCTTCAATTAGCAGTCCATTTGCTTATCAAGCTTACATTTAATTACATAATATCAATAATAAAGTATTACTATCTCAACAGCTGAGATGTTTTACTGTCACAAAACACTTTAAATGGTTTTTAATATTGTGACCTGTTTATTAACCGACATCAAATCATTCATGGGTTCCGCCAATAGAGCAACTTTTGTTTGATACACTACTCTGTGTAATAGTTGCATGTTACATTATTTTAGAACATCTTAAGAGATTATAGTTGAAGTTCAAAATCTGCGTTCATACTGGAGCGATCATTTCATATAACTTGTCTGACTTACTAGTTGAGTCGCAAAGCCCAGCTGACAATCAGGTTTCACATCAGTCACTCAGTGTCGCACTAGCTGCCATGTGAATGAAAGCTTCACAGTTGTACGCGATTTATAAAACTAGCCGCCTGGCATATTTTTTTCCACCTCAGTTGAGCTAAGTTAAATGAATAAGTTAGTTCTGTTGTCGCTAATAGAGTGTGAATAACTGTTCAGACCTGTTGCGAATTTCCAAATTAATAATCTATATGGACTTATACTTACAGGAGTAGTCTCTTTCACTAAGGAAACGATTCTAGGAGGCTGTTGTATCTTTGTATATTACAACGCAACGCAGTTTGCGTTGTAATATACAAAGATACTTTATGGCAGTGAAACATGGCCGGTAAGAGTAGAGGATATTCGTAGGTTACTAGTATTCGATCATAGGTGTCTTCGAAACATTGCTCGTATATCCTGGGACCATCGAGTAAGTAATGCAGTTGTTAGGAAACGGGTACTAGGTAAGGAGTGCAAATCAATTGATGAAGTAGTTAAACTTCATCAGTTGAGATGACTGGGACACGTGTTACGTATGCCCAACGACCGACTGCCTCGACGTGCGATGTTCAGTGGTATAGGAGTAGGTTGGAAGAAAGCTAGGGGCGGCCAGACCAAAACATGGTACAAGTCCATGAAGTTACTGACAAGTGGTCTGAGTCATGTTGATAGGTGTAGACTACCTGGTTGGGGACCGCGAGATGATAGCAACCGATGGTTAGAGACCCTGAATGACATGGCTCAAAATCGTTTGCAATGGCGCAGGTGCATCCACTCTTTGTGTTCTCCCAAATTCTAATCTTCTGAATTCTTCATGTTCCTTATTTCCTCTTTTCAAATTTATTTCACTGAATTATACTCTTTAAATAACATCTCCAAACCCTAATCTTCCCGATCACTGCTTACACTCTTGCTACCTCTACCACAATGGGATTTGAATCGACAACTGCATCTCTGTGTTAAGGTGGTGTGGCAACTCGAACTGATGTACGTACGTACGAAGTTCTACGTTGTAACTGACTGACAACGCAAACTTGTTGCAAACTATATTGGCGTATTTGCAGTGATATATTTGTTAGAAAAACGTTTAATTTTTTTCTTTGGGGGGGAAACCTATCAGATCACTAGTCTATGTAAGTGTACGTCGTACTGTATAAGGAACTTTCCATTTGCATCCAAAAATATGCTATATACTTTATTCCATTCTAGAACTTTTACAAAACAACCTGTCTCACTACTCACTACCTTAGTGAACCTTTGAAAATCATCTAGAAGTCAGTCTAGTATTCTCTAGGTATAGCAAATGAGATAACTTTTTGCACAATGAGAGTTAAAGCAGGACGTTTTGATATGAACCGTTAAATTAATATTCATCTCGTTATAGAGTGCGCAAAGCTTCAAGTTAACACTTCAACAGTTTTATACCATTATTTTTTCGATAGAATTCCATGGATTCAGGATGTATATTGAGAACTTAAGACTAATTTTTTAGTTAGTTAATTCAAAGCAGAATAAAACAGGTCAGCATCATTTGCGTTTAGTCTCGCGAATAAAGTTTAGAAAGCGTTATAGCGGAAGAAAAATCTAATCATTTACCAACAAAGACGTGAAATACGGAAAAACAAGGATTCTCCGTAATTATTCTTTATCAACCTTGATATATAATTATAAACTTGTTAAAATGTGTTCATACGTGTAATAAAGATTTGAAATTCGATTCACTGGTTAGAGGGTAAAAAAATCCTTGTTTCGAAGTGTGCAGATTCTTAGTTCACTTCAATGCATATATCATCAACAAGCTGGTTGGAAAATGTCTTAAGAGCTATCTCATTATTTTATATGTACAGTGATAGTTTGGCATATCATAAAGTAGTAGAAAATGGATTCAGGTCCAACACAAGAACCGTATGTATCTCATATATGTGAAAACATGAGTGGACAAATGCAAAATCTAAAAGTAGTACATTGTCAGAAACATGGTATATGTAGAGGTTATTTCCATTTGCTTGTAGAAGTCTATCATATATTGATTAAATTTAGGAAGAACATATAAACCGAGAAATTGCATAACCAGGTCAGTTGTAACATTCAAATTATTCTACCAGCAAAAAGTTTGGGTCAATGTGTGTATACATTTTCGTTTTAGAAAAAAACATGAAATATGGGAGTTAGATACTAACTGCTTCATAATTACTAAACCAGTAGTATACTATACGTAAAACCAATTGTTTTATTTGTTATGCTTTCATTCATCTTACATGCACCACCTTAATGATAACCGTAACTTCAAATTAAATCATGTGCAAACTGGTTTTCACAATGTTCACTTATATTTGATTTTATTCCTTAAATTACGTATAGAAGTGAATAAAATAACCATTTTTATTGTTTTTGCTTCTAATACTGATGTGAATAAAACTATTATCACCTAACTTGACTACTCGAGTAAAATATGATGTGATAAGGAAATAATACCTTGCTGATAAAACTTGCAAAATATTAACTTTAAGATTTTTATCTGGTTTTAGTCATTTGGTTGATAAAAATTTGAAAACGTCTATAATGAAGACCAATTCTTACACAACTTTACCGAAATCTACCATATATTTGTCTTAGATTGTTTCATAATGAAGATTTGCTTAATGTAGGCAGTTGTTCAGTATCATGATAGTTATATTACAATTGGCTGTCATGACAATCCAATTGGTGAAACTCATTGGTTTCCAATAAGCAAATCTAATTAGTTTGGTCATGCGCTTCCATTTACTAGATATATTTATAGTATTCTTTTTTAACGTCAGAGCTCTACTGATTCTTTTTGATCTGATAACAACTGGTTAACAAACTTATGGGATCCAGATAAGTTGATGTGGTGTTTGTATGAACTAATGGTTCTTTTGTATTTGATCTCTGCCTGACTTCGAATCACAAGTACAATACATTCGTTCGTGCGCATTTAGTTCTCTTCGGTCTAGAATACGCTATTTCGCGGATTCCTAGTTCGTATAATAATTCAAATACTTCTAATCATAACAGATGGTCTAGTAAGTCCTGCAATATTTGACCTTGACTATATCTCTTGATATGAAGGTTGTTGTTAGCTCCCTCGACCAAGAGATTTATTATTGGGTACTGACATTAGAACAAATGTCTTGCGAGTGTGGTGCGTGCTACTGATGTCGACAGACATAAGTAGTATGTATCATCAATCGAAAGTGAAATGCCTAGCGGCAGAAGGTCAAGACCGAAGAAAAGAGAACGAGAATGATTGATGTGGGAACGAAACAAAAATGAAGTCTTAAACGATTGATTAGCATTTTGCAAATGAAGTATTTACTGTATGGTTCTCAAGTTTTACTAATAGGTCCCGTAATTTTGTATTCAAATACATTCGATCGTCCTCACTTGTGTTCTCGTTCACTACACAAGTAGTGTACACTACGGTGGTTTTCCTTTACCCAAGCACTTCTGATTGTAACACAGACTAATGTATCCTATCGTACAGTAATGTGTATAACCTTCGCCAGGTATGAATGCTACTTTTTTCATTTAGTAAATACAATTGACAGTTTTCCAACATTGGTTTCCTACACCAAGATCCAATCATTGATTTAGAGTATGTAAACAACAGTGCTAACAAAATTTAGTCTTCCGATATGGTATCAGTAAATCAATTGACTAACTGTTAATGTAGTTAGTCTGTAAAGGTGCTGATTTCCGTAGTTAGATGAAGGAATAACCGTAGTCAGTAGTTGAAGACTAATGAAAGAGCTGGAAGTAGGCTTAATCATCACGTCGTATTGGCGAGTTAATATTGTAGGCACTAAGTTCGATGAGACTGCTTTCATTAGGTGGCTTTTGACTTAAGCATGTATTATTTTAATTCAAAAAATTTATAGTCTTGAAGAAT